ATAAAATTATTGATACATTTAATTTATAGTAATAAAATAATTGTAGTTGTTGTTGTCGTTATTATATTTTGATCAATTTATTAAAAGAAACGGGGCGGGGGAGGTGAAAAAACACGCGTATAGACTAAAAAATAATATTTCCCATTTGGTTTTTGTTTTCATCTCATTGTTAAATTGCAAGACAGGTGATGATGTTTTTGTGTGTTCGAGAAAGAAAAAAAAAAGAAAAAGAAATCGATTAAGGAGCGATTGTCTCTCATGCGTCCAATCGAGACAATAATAACATTCGATTAACGTTACCTAACATAACAGGGATCTTATCGAAAATTTTATTTGTGTTTACGCGCGCGTTTGTGTCTGTGTGTGTATGCGTTTGTGTGTGTGTGTGCGTTTGTGGAATTCCGTTATTATTAAATACTAGGTACTAGTAATTTCACACTCTTGTACTCGCTTATTTATAGATTATCAGAAAAAAAAAAAAATTAAATAAATATATATATAACGTAGATAAGAAATCGGCACGCATGTTTTAGCATGATCGACACATGCATGGAAAAAATATCAACTAAAAGATATACCAGCGATATTGAGAGAATCTGGCACTTTGAACCAACTTTTTTCGTATTTGTCATTACATCCGTTTATTATTCGCCACGAATAACACATTGAATTTATTATTTATTAACGTAATCTTTATTACTCCTCTCTCTCTCTCTCTCTCTCTCTCTCTCTCTTTCAGTATTTCATTCTCTCATTAAATCTAATTAATTAAATACGTGAACTCTATAATATAATCAATAAATAATAATTATATTGTTCGACGATGTGAAATATTTATTGAAATATTTTTTTTTTCATTACGATGATAATACTCGTCGTTATATAATATTAAGATTTAAATCCAAAATTCGCGTACGAGTTTTTTTCTCTTTTTTTTTATTTTTTCTTCTTCTTCTAATTATTATATTTTTCCAAAGTAAATTATAGTTTAAACAAAAATCTGATCGATCGTGCAATTTGTATAAACAATTTGTATAAAACGACATAATTGCACGTTAACTTTTCATTCAGTTTAATAATATATGATTGAGATCTAAGATTTATCATCTTAAAAACAAAGTCATTTGATAATAATATAATATACTTAACCCTTTCGTTAGTAGTAACCCATATAGGGATCGTACCATATCAATTGACCACCAACCCATTAAGGGCTCGTTACATTTGACTTTTTTACTTAGGTACCAATGAATTTGAATAAAATTCTATATAACTAAAGGGTTAAGTATAATAATATTATAATTATAATTCCTCGTTAAGTTAACCCTTCTTTGCATGATTTTTTCTTTTTTTTTTTAAAATAAATCAGGATGATGTAATTAATGCTCTAGATTAAAGGAAAAATATTTAAAAAAAATCCTAGTGCTATTTTTAGACAACTGCGTTTTGTTGTACGCAATAGTCGGTTAAAAAGTTGCCAGCAACAACAAATATACAGTACAAGGGTTTTGAGTATCTTTTTTTGTTGATTAAATATTATGATTGAAATTTCTATCATCATGCAAAGAAGGTTTAAGTTAATGCAAATTAAGTTAAACAATAATGTTATTGTTGATTTGTAAAAGCTACAGAGAGAAAAATGAATGATACCAGCTCAGAAAGGTTGAATACAAGAATGAATTCTAGCGAAGAATTCGAATTAACGATAGATATGAAATTCAACGAGGGTCATATGATCAGCATCATTACCTACAGCGTTCTAATGGGAATTTCAGCAATCGGAAATATCAGCGTACTTCTTTTGATCATGCGTCGTCGTCGGACAACTAAATCAAGGATTTACACGATGCTAATGCATTTAGCTATCGCTGATCTTCTCGTAAGCGCATTTCATTCTTGATTTCTTTCTTTTTTTTCTCTTTCTCTTTCTCTCTCTCTTTCTCTCTCTCTCTCCTTCTCTTATTTTCCATTTTTTTCTCATATATCCTTTAACTTTGACAATATTTTTAAAGGATAATTTTTATTTTTCTTCATCTGTAATCCTATCTATTTTTCTTTCGTTCTCTTAAGCGTTATCCAAATCTGACAATATTTTTAAATTTTAAACCTTTTTTATTTTCTCTTCTCATTTGTTTTCTCTTTCTTTTTTTTTCTTTCTTTCTTTCTTTCTTTCTTTTAGGTACTTTAAATTTGACTAAATTTCTAAAGGAAAGTTCTTTTATTTTCTTCGCTTATACTTCCTTTCTCTTTTTACTTTCTTTCTCTTATCTTTTTTCAATTCAGAAAATAAAGCTTCTATTTTATTTCTTTCTTTTTCTCATCTTTTTTAACCTCAAAAAGAAAAGCTTCCATTTTCTTCATTCATTTCTTCTCAT